CTTTCTTGCAAAATAAAATAGCCCAAGAACATCCTTCAGGAAAAAACATAAAAACAAGGAAAAAACCCACCTCTGATTCATACTGGCTAAATTACCTCTAAAGCTTTGTCCCATAATAAGGAGGAACTGGGAAAGTCAGTAAGCATGTGATAGCAGAGAGATAGGTAGGTGGAAAACAGGAGGGTTAAATAAATAGGAATAAAGTTAAATTACTTCCAAACATTCCTGTCCAGAAGTTCAAAATAAATAATTTTTTTGAGATTTCTATTGATACCTGCTGAATATGTATTTCACTGGCTGGAGGGTATTTTGATACGTAAGTATTGTTTCTGAATATTATAAACTGCCAGATAACAACAATGTATTTTTTATGATGGAATGAGGAAATTGTTTGTTGTTAGTGAACTGATGACACATTTATGATCAAGGCAACGCTCCTTTTGATGCCCTTACTTGTTAACTTGGCCTCTGGACACATCAAGAGCTGCTGACAAGTTTAGGAAAGAGGCACAGACACCAGAACAACAGCTCCCACAATTCTCATTACCAGAAACAGTGCAGGGACTCCCAGAAATCCTACTGAGAGAAGCCTGCAGCCTGGTGAATGAGTGATGGGTGAAGGAGCTGTGGAAAGAGACAGTCCAACCAGGTTTGTAAGGGTTGGTGGGGCCTGACCAAGGACTGGTGTCTCCCCAGGGTCAAGGTGCTCACTAAAAAGGATTTCTGGAATTGTCCACCCAGTTCCAGCTGTTCAGACAGCGAATATCTCTTTTGAAGTAATTTAAGAGCCTGTGGTATTCTGCTGCCATAGAGGTCTGCAGCGTTAGTCAAAGCAATTCTGCTCTCAGCTCAAGTCTAATTAAGGGTAGCTCTTGCGTAAAGTGAGTTAAATTCAGTAGTCACAGCCCAGACCCCATGGAAAATAGTCTAATTCAACTACAGTAATACAGTGTAATATAAATATAATGGAAATACAAAACCATATAATTTAATTTGACATGACTGGCAGTTTTTTGCTTAAGTCAGTGCGGATGATCAAGTACAAACACTGAACTTCCCTCTTCGATCTTTTATTGTTAGTGCAGTAGGGAGCTGGTTTCAGGATGACTTTGCACAGCAGCACCCTAAACAAACGTACTGACAAGAGGCATATTTCACACCCTCTTTTGAAAACATGTGCACATTTTTAATTTTTAATGTTTTAGATAGTTGCAGTAAATTGAATTAAGATTAAATATGGTCTGGACTTTTCTACATCTGTCCCATATGCTCAAAGGAAGGAAACAAATGCACATGGAGAATCTGGGTAAGCCATGTGCCTCAAGCAGTGCTTTTATCCACACTGCCTTCTTGCCCCTGCAACCTGGCTGCCCTAACTCCAGCAGTCCTGCCACAGGAGAGGTCCTGACCCCTCCTCAGACCAGGGAGAATGGGAGCCACGCTGCCAGGGATGCTCCAAACCTTGGGCACCCCATGCCCACCTGCCCTGTCCCTGCCATCCCTGCCTCCAGCAGAGACCAGCTGAGGCTATGCCCAGCAGTGAAAAACTGTGGAGATGTACTTTTTCCCCAGAAAGTTTGAAGTGCTATGAGCAAGAAGGGATCAGAGCTGGGGAAAGGGTTATGGGGGGGTAAGGAAAAAAATCACAGAATGGCTCTGTTGGAAGGGATCTTAAACACCACAATGCTACAACCACCTGCCCTGAGTTGTGAGAGGAAAGCTCATGTCTTGGCAAACAATCTGATGGGTGAAAGGTGTGGGTGTTAACATCTTTGAAATGGGTCTCAATGTCACTACTGACTATGGGCAGCGGGTTTGTGGCAGAGCTCAGGCAGCCTGGCCCCTGTCACAGACAAGGGAATGCACAGGCCTCAACTTCCGAACTTTGGGGAAAACAGCAGGTTCAAGGCACAGTATGTGGTAGGTGGCTTGGGAAGGCTGTGCCATCCTAATGCCTCAGCCAGTGGAGAAAGGAAAAGGGCAACATGCGGCCGGGAATTAGGGTAAAAGGAGGCTGTGCCCTCTGAAACCCTGAGAGAAAATGCCCTGAGCGTGTGCCCCAGTGCACTCCCTCCCTTTATTCGAATAAAGTTACAGAACTCCTCTGTCTCTTTCTTGGGCATAAACCTCTGGTGTTTGTGGATTTTCCTGACACTTGGGGGGCTCGGTGCGGGACCGCCTGGGTCGGGCAGGCAGTGAGAGGAGCTGGAGGTGCAGCTCACCCATGGGAGGTGAGCAGCTCCCTGCGGCGCTGGCCGGCAGCGGGCGATGGGGCTGCTGAGACCGGCCAGGACAACTCCAGGGGATAAAACACGGCAGAACGCCCAGGGTGGAACACAGGAAAATTGAAAAAGGGCTCTCAACTGTAGGGGTGACGATGTCATGTAGTCTTTTTCACATTTGGAACATTTGCAACCTACCCTCCTGACTTCTCCACATCTGGTCTGTCCCTGCACCAGGTGTGGCAAGTTAATACAGAGAATCAACCAGACACTGACAGTTCATATTAGTTCATTAATCACTAGAAGTCCTTGTCCATGGTTCCTGTCAGCTAAGGTGTCCCATCCTCTTCTTCCAGCTGAGAAGTCCAAATCTCCAGAGCTTTGGAGTCCTTGACCTAGGTATAATGAGTCCATCAGCGTCCAGGTGTCCTGGCTGCTGTCTCTGCAGTCCTGGCTGGATGTCTGAACAGCAAAATCCGAAGGCAGAGTCTGTGCTAACTGGGCTTCCTGTCAATGAGATTGCACAAGACCCAGAATCCTGGCCACATATTGGTCTAAATATGTATCTTCACCTTCTCAGGTTTCCTCACAGCAATGCAGAGAGGCTCCATATCCTGTTTTCCACATTCCCCTGGGACTGCCCACACCTCTGGGTTCACTCCAGCATTCACAGCAGCACTAGCCTCCCCACCACCCCTTACAATACTAACATTCCCAGCTGCAGTCACCAAATCCCCTCCTCACAAACCACAATCACAACTAGGAATAACCAGAAAGTCATGCTTTTAAACCAAACTCACACATTTAGCCAACTCTCATGGGCGTCCCCGTGTTATTTTTATTTGCCAGCAAAACTCAAATTAACACACACATCTTTCCCACTTATGAAAAGAACATTTGAGCAATTGTTCCCCCTTTGCCATAAAATTCAAATTATCACAGCAGATCATGGCACCCTTAACAATCCATGTCTAATGTTTCATTCCTTCCCAATCGCTGTCCTGGTGGCCACCCACTTCCCTTAGGTACTGGGGCTCCCAGAACTTTTTCCTGTTGGGACTTGTAAAAATTGCCATTCTTCTTGCCTGTGCCTTTACCTTTTCCTTTTCCTCATCATCTCTTCTTTCATATCTTTCTAACCAGGTCATCCAAGGACTTACTCTGCCCTTCCACCTACTGCCTGTGGGTGCTCATTCTCCCACAGCTCAGAATCACTCGTTTCTCCAGTGACCCAAACAAAATCACTGACAGCAAATCCTGATTCTTCCACATACAATCTGCGTTTCCCAGATAGTCCATTCTCCTCCTCCTTGTGCTCACCCTGCTCACCACACACCAGAGCCATCCACCCCTGCCTGACCACAGTGTCCAGCACTCCCAGCACACCCGCCCAGGCCCCAGTGAGTAAGTGGACAAACCCCAATCCTCTGCCCTGGCTCCATAATGGTTTCAGGGAGGAGTGGGGGTGTAGGAACAGCATCTGCTTGCTCTCCCTCTCCTGGAAGCCAGGAATGCAAAAGACGAAAACCAATCCCTGTATTAGAGTGCAGATTTCGAAGATTCCTTATCACATTGCCTCCCGTTGCTGTTTGCCTTAACCACATTTGTCCACACTCCCCTTCAGCCAGTCCTTTCCCAAACCAACACAGTATTGTCTGCTCTGGTTGCCGAGGCCCTTTCCCTTGACCTCTTGCCTCACCCTAATGCCCCTCTTGGGCATTCCTGTCCTTAACTACATCTGTGAGGATGTGCAAACCCTCTCAACATTCTCCCTCAGGACCCTTTGGAGGTATTTTGGCATCGTCACCCCAACATTCAAGAGCCCTTTTTCAATTTTCCTGTGTTCCACCCTGGGCGTTCTGCCGTGTTTTATCCCCTGGAGTTGTCTTGGCCGGTCTCAGCAGCCCCATCGCCCGCTGCCGGCCAGCGCCGCAGGGAGCTGCTCACCTCCCATGGGTGAGCTGCACCTCCAGCTCCTCTCACTGCCTGCCCGACCCAGGCGGTCCCGCACCGAGCCCCCCAAGTGTCAGGAAAATCCACAAACACCAGAGGTTTATGCCCAAGAAAGAGACAGAGGAGTTCTGTAACTTTATTCAAATAAAGGGAGGGAGTGCACTGGGGCACACGCTCAGGGCATTTTCTCTCAGGGTTTCAGAGGGCACAGCCTCCTTTTACCCTAATTCCCGGCCGCATGTTGCCCTTTTCCTTTCTCCACTGGCTGAGGCATTAGGATGGCACAACCTTCCCAAGCCACCTACCACATACTGTGCCTTGAACCTGCTGTTTTCCCCAAAGTTCGGAAGTTGAGGCCTGTGCATTCCCTTGTCTGTGACAGGGGCCAGGCCGCCTGAGCTCTGCCACAAACCCGCTGCCCATAGTCAGTAGTGACATTGAGACCTATTTCAAAGATGTTAACACCCACACCTTTCACCCATCAAACTCTTTGCAAAGACAATTCTGTTTTTGCACACATCTTTCATATCCAATGTAAATCTACTGTCTTCCAGTTTGAAGCCATTCCCCCTGGCTCCTGTCACTACACGTAAAAACCCCCTCTCCATCTGTCTCTCAGGCTCCCTTCAAGCACTGGAAGGAGAAGAAGGGAGTGTCTGTGTCGCTGTTCGGCCTGTCCTGGCCCAGAGCTGTTCCCGAGGCCGCGGCCCAGCCCAGGCTCCGCCATCCCAGCGCCTTCCCAAGGCCTTTCCCTGCGGCGCCCCCTCCCCGCGCTCCCCTCGGGCTCCCGCGCGGCGCCTGCGCGCGCCTGCGCCCAGCTCCGCCATGGCGGCCTGGACGTGCTGCCGGGTGGCGGCCGTGTCCTGCCTGGTGCTCTGCGTCTCCCTCCTCCTGCCGCGCACCTTCCTGCCCCGGGCCGGCGGCAGGCAGGAGCCCGGCGCCGCACCGCCCGAGGGTAAGAGGCCGCTCCTCTCCGCCGCCCCCCACCCTTGTCCCCCCCGGCCCGGGACGCCGCGGTCCCGCTCGGGGTGAGCCCGGGGCGGGCGGGCTGCGGGGGCTCCGTGAGGGGCCGGGGCTGCGTGCAGGGAGCTCCGCCGCCCGGTATGGAAACATAGCGTAGTTCCCCCTTGGCGCGTCTCTCCCCCGTGCTCATCCCTTAGCAACGTGTGGAGGGATGCTGGAGGATTCATTCGTGCTTACCGCTCTGATATACTGTCTCCTTTTTTTAAAAAACAGCTTAAAAACTTCAAAAATTTATTTTTTTTTTTATGTGCGCGGTATTAAAGCTTCCCGAAAAGTGGCATATTCATTCCATTTTTTTGTTGGTTTTGTTTTTTGGTTTTTTTTTTTTTTCATTGCAATACATCCCTTCATTATTTTGTTACTCTGTGTATGGAATGCTTCTGTTGTTACATATGAAATAAAAATTCATTTGAATCGTCTTCACTGTTCCGTTTCCAGCGTTTTAAACTTTCATTTTCATGCACCAGATTCTCATAATGCTGTGATGGCTTATTTTAGGCTCAGGTCCTGTCCGTGCAGCCCCCCAAGCTGTGTCCTTCGTGCCTGCCCTCCCACTCTGCGTGTGCCCTCTTTAAGTTATCGGGGAATGGGTTCATACAAGCATCTCCCATCCTTTTTATGGCCTTTTACTGTAGAGGTTATTTTTCCCCAAGGCACTTCCCAAGAGTAGCAGGTATCATAACCACTAGTCTTGGCAGAGAGGGAGCTTTGTGCGGGGCTGCCCACAAGCCAGAGGTGAGGCTGGTGGAAGCACAGAGAACTTAGGAGTTCATCAGGATGCTGTCCCACAGGGACTCATGTTCAGTGACTGTCTCATGCACCTTCCAACTGCCTGGTTCTGTATCTGCACTCTTGAGTGACATGGATTTCTCTCACTTCAGGGTTTTCTAAGGACCTTCAGGCTGAAGTTACAGCTAAAACAGTGTTATGTTGAAGCCAAATAGAGGATTTCCATGCCTCAACAGCTCTTTCATGGTTACCATGTGTATTTTTGGTGTTTTAAGAACTTGAAAATAGGCTGGTCAGCACTGTAGATCTGCAGGTGTATAGTTCCATTGCAGGACCTCCTCACACTGAAAACCCATAAAGGTTTTCAGAACAGGTGAGGACTGTTGAATCACCTGCCTGGAGCAGGGATGGGAGCAGATGCTCTGAGAGGCGGCTCCCCAGACTTCTGCCCCTACACAGCTCCTGACTGACCCCACAGTGGTACCAGAAGATGCAATTTGGCACACCATTTTCCCACAGCAATGTAGTCTTAAGCAGTTGTCAGTTAATGTTGTGGTGCTCCTTTCTTTGGCTGCAGGTTGACCTGACAGAAAAACCAGCTTTAAAAAACCCAACAACAAACTTGTCCTCCAATTATTTTCAGTGTCCCTCAATTATTTTCAGTGCCATCTGTCAAATGAATGATGTTCGTACCTATGCTAGCACAGCTGGCTCTGAGCAGTGCTGTGATAGGGTGGCTTAATCATAAGCTACAGTTGAATGCTTAAAATAGGTAACATAAATACTCTTTACAGCCTCAGAATTGTAAACACTTCCCATCATTCCTGCAGAGATCACAGGGCAGCACAGGCACCCAGCATTGCTCCCCTCTTGCACCCCAGCACGTGTCTTTGGCTGAGGATGTAATAACTCACCTCAGCTGCTCAGTTTCAGATGAGAGTTTATAGTTTATATTTTCTACTTGATAGCAAGGATTTCATTACACTTGCTCTGTAGACCAAACTGTATTTCACCTGAAGTTACTTTTTTATTGGAAGAATAAATCTTGATTGAATCGCTCAATTCATATCTCTGTCATTAGTTGTCCTCTTCAGTGCACTGATAACTGCAGTTACCTGGCAGGAGTTTGAGGGCTTGAGGTAATCATGTCATTCTTGAAGTTAATAAAGTGCTTATGGTAGTCTTGGGGGCAAAATGTCTCTGAATAAAACATGCTTAAAGTTTAGTACCTTTTGTTAAACTCAATGTTACCAGAAGGCTTTTTATCAAAACAGGCTTTAGGCATGGCAGTGGAACTTTCTTAATAAAGTCATTTTCAAAGGTCTCTTTCAGAAAATGGTGAGCATTGAACTGTAGAAGTTAATTTTATCTTCCAGACAGGAATGTTGTTCTTTTTTTACAGTAATAATTTCATGTATACGACAAAGCTTGCTTAAAGAACTTACTGTGTTTGTATCACATTCCTAGTTGACATTATAGACAGGCATTAGAATGTTTATCTTTTGTTAAAGAGGAGCAAAAAGGGGACCTACTAGCAGTTTTAAAAGTACATTTTAAGTCTAGTGTTCATCAATACATGCCATGCATTTTGTAAAGCTGCTCTCTAAGTTGGTAGTTTCAGATAAACCTTACAACTCCATGACAGCAGCAAACTCTGCTTTCTTACAGACAATCAAGTGGCATCAGCTTTACAAAAAAAATATATGACAGTTCAAGTAACCCCCTCTGCCCAGCCTGAATTTGTGCAATGCACACATCAGTTGCCTGCTGGTGTCCTGAAGAAAATGATGTGACAGAGAGACATATTGCCTAGACTAAGAGTTGCTGAATAGTACAGTAACATAAGTCTAAATAACTTTATAAATAGTTGAGTTTGGCTCAGTAGCAATTCCCAAAACCCATTAAATAGAACACGTAACAGCTTTCATGGAAAAGAGATGCCTGAATGGTCTGAGTGTTATCATCTGGTTGATTGTTGTATTCACTGCGTTGTAAATACAGTTTTTAAGATTTGCTCCTTTTCAGTTAGGTGTTAATATTGTTACAAGATTAAAAACACAGTCATTCTCATGTGAAAATACCATTAGGGACTTCATCTACATTCAGAAACTACAGCCTTTTAAACAACACAAATGTATGCTGGGGCAAAATTTCATTTTTCGACTTCAAGCTATTGAAGGGACTGGGTTAAACAAAACATGTTCTGCTTACCCTGCAGCTGGTGTGCAAAGTTGATTTGAAACATAAAAACTGACAGAATTATTAAATGTATAGGATAAAACCCAGGTAAAAAGATTTCAAAGCCGGGTAGGGTGTGGTTGGTGGGAGCTGTCACACACAGCTATCAGCCCGCATGAAGGCAGCCCTCGGGCTGTCACAGGGGCTTTGAGAAACATTTCGAAAGCAGAGCGGACCCTTCAAAGCTAAGGGGAGTTAGTGCTCTTCCCACAGCATTCCCACAACAGGAAAATGTCGTGTTAAGGTCCACACCATCCCCACTGCAGCTGAATACAGCAGCAAACAAGGACTCAACACATGGCCTTCTGTGCTCATCAAGTGTCACTTGATTTTCTTGATGGAAAGTGTGTTATTGTCTCCATTTGAAAGTGGTTTGTTTCATCCCTGGAAGTGTGGAATGTTATTCAAGTCACAGTGGCACCCGATTGTTACATTTTCCATTTGTATACTGCGCATTTAAGAGCTTTGTGCGTGTGTTGCTTTCAAGTTGCCTGTGCCCTCCATTTCCTGTGTAATTTGCATGGATTCTTCACAATAAAAAGCTATGGAAGATGTAATTTGTTTATTAAGGAAATAATTATAAAATTATAACAACAGGGTAGGTTTACAAATTGGAGCCATGAAATTCCCCTTTAAAATTACCTTGATAATGAAATGTCTAGGGTTTGTCCTCTTGAACTGATTATATTTAATTGAATTGAATCTTTTAAAGCACAAATGAGGCCTTGTGGATAATTTAGAAAACTATTCACTTTAAATACAGTTTCACCTTTGTCAATTATTTTCTGCTTTCTTAATCTCTCCTTTTTTTAAAATAAATAATATTTGCATAAGTATAAGATGTTTTATAAATGTTTACCTACCCTGCTGCTTCATCCCCACCTGAGTGATGCTGCTCTCTGCACGACATCACACTTGTTTCCACAGTGACCTACTGCTACAGGGCATTGCTGCTGGAGCAGGAGGACTTTTCTTGTAAATAAGATGCTATGCTTTCCAGCACAGACTTTGAATAATTCACTGAAATTTAAGTGCATGATAACAGCTTCCTCAAAATTAAGCTAATCTGAGAGTGGGTTTGGTCAGTGGTAGTGTACCCTGGCAGTTACACTAAAGAACTCTTGGAATGTGTGCTATCATCTACAAGAAAAATGTGTTTTTAATAGTGGAACTTCATGAATTATTGATATCACTTCCTAGTAAGTGTTTACTGCAATTTTCTGTGCTCAGGAATTTAGCTGCCTATGATGGTGTTTCCTAGCAAGACCAAATGTTAATTAAATTTTTCTCTTGTGGCTCATAAAAGTATTTGCAGCTGCATACTTGCAAAAGTAAAGTCAGTTCTTTGCAGTGCCACTTTAAACCTGCTTTTCATTTTCTTTCTGCGAGCACAAGCAGCCTGTCCCAGCACCAGGCAACAGCATCCAGGCCATGTGTGCCAGGGAGGGGGAGTTTTCCAGCTGGGATCAGGGAATGAGCTGCAGCCCAGGCTGGCAATCCCCATCTCTGGTGCTTCCATCCAGCGCCTCTCACAGCCAGGTTCCATGGCAGAGTAGCTGAGTAACTCAGCTCAACACTGCTCAGTGGAAGGGACTGCAGGTGCACATCCAAGCTGGATATGGAGATGGAAAGCAGGATGTCAACTACACAGAGGAGTAAAATAGTGAATTTCACAGCAAAATTGTTGAATTGATGGCAGCAAGAAAATAGAATAATGCATGAGCTTAAATTTATTGAGGTTCTTGTGCCCTTCAGTTGTGTGAAATCATTTGCAGCACCATTTCAGGCTTTCTGCAGTTCTTACTGTGGCATCTGTACATCCATTTATGCTTTCTCTCCTTTCTTGTGTTAAATTAGCTCTGCCTAGGGAAGGTTAGAAACCTCTAAATTTTTTTTCCCTCTAAAATGCCAAAGATAATATGTCCCAGGCTATATTCAATCTCCTTTCTCACACTGCTTTACCTTAGATCTTTTTAAGGAGAACAGCTTGAGGTAACATCGCTTTTCTTAATCTTTCATTACTCTCTTGGTGAAATCAGGTAAAATACTATTTCTTACAGCAATAACAAAAAAATCTGCTGGGCAGACTCTGCAGTTGTGTGTCAGGCTGTTCGGTAGATAATTGTTTGGACATTAATACATTTATACATTAAATGCCTTTGGGCAATATTTAAAGATCAGGCTCACAGTGGAAAGCTGATATGTTGTTGGGGGATCTTGAGGAAAGAAACAAGTAGAAATCTGGCATTTCATCCCACTGGAGGTACTGATCTGTTGGGTATTCAGACAAGAATATAACTATTAAAATCCATGTTTTGTTAATTACCCTTCCAGCTCTTTCTCTGCATAAAATCAGGAGATTTTAATTGTGTGATTCTAGTCCTAATTGTGTGAAATTGCTAGAAGTAAATGGCTTTAAGTAAAACCTAACTCCTAGCACTGCACATCACAAGAGACTGAGGACTGAGTTCACAGACTTAGTCCAACATGTTATTTACTCATCAGTGGTGCTGAATTTACAAGCAGAGAAAATAGGTCACTTGCACCTGCTGCAGGTTTATGCTACATGTGAAAAGGTGGAAGGTAATAGAAGGGAAATGACCAGTGTGTGGTTTTTTGCAGGGAAGCTCAGTCGTTTTCCTCCGAGGATGCATTCCCACGCCACTCCCGACGGCCGAGCTGTCCCTCATTTTCCGAGGTCTCACCTTACTGAAGCAGTGGCCAAAGCCAAGGCAGGTGGAGGTGGTAGTGGAAGCACTGGTGGAAGTGGAAGAGGTCTCGTGGGACAGATTATCCCTATATATGGATTTGGCATCTTCTTATATATTCTGTACATTTTATTTAAGGTAAGAACCAGCATAAATTGGAAAGTCAGGGAAAAACTCGGGGAAAAAAAAATTTGAGTCTCATTTCAGTACCTTGTTCCATTTCATCTGTGCTCAAAAACATGCTTATGCTGGACCTTTGCCTGGTGGTCAAAAGACTGGAGTATCCTGTGGGTTTTGTTGTTGCAAAGACTATAGCTAAGAATGCAGGGAAGGAATTCTCTCTGCATTGGCCTCTGACCTTTAACAATTTTTTAATTTTTTCTTTTCCTGTGAAAAAGTTCATGTCTAGAGTAATCTTAGATTAAATTTGAATATACACATAATATTCTTTTCCTTGTTTTATGTGTATATGCTTCATGTTGTTATTTGTTCCAGGACTCTGATAGGAGTTTTCAGCTGGCAAAATCTTCCAGGCATCTTTCATGGTTTTGCTGCTGGGTGTGCTTTTCCATGGCTGCCTTCTGTATTTTTTTCTATTGTCTCTGGGGTTTATCTGTTACTGTGGCTGTAACTCATGGAAGGGCCATGTTCTTGTCCTCAACAGCTGGCTTCCAAGGGAAGAACTACTCCTGGAGAGCGGAAATGCCCCACTGCTACCCCTGGGAACATGAAGAGGAAAATCAGTGAGTATGGCTCTGGGTTGTACCTGTGTAGCTGTTGACTCTGTAATGCTCTAACAGGCTTCTTCAAGTTCTGGGTGCACTGTAAAGCTGATGTTCCCTCCCACCCCAAAAAAAAAACCAAAACCAAAAACCAAGCCAGAATCTTCTGTGTTAGAATGAGCAAGAGTTAAAAAGAATTACTGCACTGTCACTTTCTAATCTCATTTAGCCCATGAGGCTGTGATAGCAGCCTGATCCCAAGCCCCTCTGGAAGGAATGGCTTTTCATGAGGTTTGCTGAATTTACTGCATGGATTTGCTGAAAAGCTGTGTCACTAATGATTAAAAAGGGATAATAGGATGTCCAGTTATAATTATTGTATAATCCCTAATAGTCTAGTAAGAGTATAGAAAGATACCATGAAAGCTAGTTTAATTTTTTTTAATTGGTGAATTCTTAGCCATCACCAGGCACTTCCCTAATTTGTCCCTTTTTTTTGCAATGCAGAGTTTTCATGCGTGCAATAAAGAGAGCAAATAATATTCTAAAATGTTAATTTGATTTTACCTAAACATCACTGAGATAGATTCAAGTGTTTGTAGGCACTTATTAGATAAATTAATAACCTTACTATTGAGGATTGGGAAGAGTAGTTACCATTACAGTATTTAAATGTGTTGTGTTTAGCTGGCTAAACTGTAATAGGAAAGGAAAGTACTTAGGGCTTTATAGAAGCCTTTTTTATAGAAAGTGGTAGCAGGAAGGTAATTCTCTTAACATAGCTGTAATTTTCTTGACATTAATGCACATATTAGGAATACCTAATGTACTCAGTGCTGTAGATTGTGTCTCCAGTGCACTCATACTGCATTGTGCCTGGCAATTTTGGGTAATATATCAGCAATGGTAATTGTATTTTTTTTTTCTGGTGTTCAGTGAGAGAAAGTAACTTTGCAGTGAGGTTGCCATCCTTACATCCCAGAGAACTAACAGGGGAAATGATTCTGCTTTTTCTAGAGCTCTTCATTTATATTACTAAAGCATTAATGGCAAGCTGTACCAGAGCAGGGGTCAGGTCACTGGATTAGGAGCTTGAAGACTGAGTCACCGCTTACATTGTGACTTGGAGAAGTAACTTCCTGTCTCTTTGCCAATTCCCCTTCCCCTTTTTTAAAGTCTCAGACATGCAAAATAATTACATCAGCATTGCATTAAGTAATGACAATCTGTGCAGAATCGAGATCTTTCTAAAAGCAGGATGTTTGTTGATGGATTTCTCCATTCCTACTATGTTGAAGTTCCATTGTGCCTTTGTGCTGATTAAATGGATGTAATATTGGTAATAGTCTTCACCTTCTCAGGCCAGGAAAAGCAGGTAGAACACTGTAAGCTGGATGTTTTAGTTTCCTCACAGCCAGTTTGGTTTGGTACAGCATTTGCTACCTGTGTTAATGGAACAGGGATACATTTTCAAGGCTCAGTACTGACAGATCTTGGGATTTTTTGTTTTGTTTTGTTTTGCAGCTGACTATGAGCTCACTCAGCTCCAGGAAAGACTGAGAGAGACAGAAGAAGCGATGGAAAAATTAATCAACAGAGTAGGACCTATGTATGACAGGTATGTTTCAAATTAGAATATTTTTAGGAGATGTTCTGCTCTGATTAGAAATCAAACTTTCTTGCATTTTATATATAAAAATAGCATTTTTATTGCTTCTTCAAATTATAGAAGTTAGATTTTACACATCCCAATTCTTGTTCTGCAGTTTTTCTCTTTTCAGTAGCTATATATAAAATAAATAATTTTTTCCAGCTTCATTTTCCTGAACCAGAAAAGCAATTATCCCTACCTCTCCCCTTTGTATAATGTTATTTGTAAGAAAATGACAGGTATATGTAAATAGAAGATGAACCATCTACATTTAAAGTACGTAAAACAGCCTGTTTTACGTGACCAAAATAATATCCTGAATTATTCTTTTCCAGTTTTATGGATTATTTTCCTAAATTGAAATGCTGTTATAATCTATGTAAATTCCTGTTAGAATAACCATAAAATTTTTCTTTAAGGCAGAATTGTATAATAATCTGATTACATAACTTAGTTCCACTCTAAATTCATGCATTTGCTTCTAAATATAAAAAGACAAAGGGTTCTAAAATCAGCATTCAAAATTTTATTATGTTTATTAATGTTTCCTACAAATCTGATATCACCAGTCTACGTTACAAAGAAACACTGGAAACAAGTCTATGTTTTTCATAAGGAATAAAAAGAACAGATCAATAGGATGCTGCATAACTGCAGTGTGAAAACTGAAATACCATAAATATGAAGGTGAGGTTTGCAAAAAATGAGAGCTGTTCTGGTTGTATATCATATTAACTTTGTCTGGGTCAGCCAAGGCGTGTTTTAACCCATCCTGTAGGAATGTTCTGTGCTGAACATGCACATTTTGTTCATTTATGCTTGAAACCACTTCTCTTTGAGTGCAGTTTTTGCCCACTTTTTGCTGTGCCCTGTACTGTCTTGGGCAGACAAGGTGTCCAACTTGCCCATGTTCAGCCAGATCCCAGTGGGAGAGCCCCTAAACTGCCCTGGTTTTGTTAGTGGAACAGAAGGATCCTGCTTTAACTCATCTCTGTTCTGGAGAGCTGACACAATGCTCTACACGTACCTCTGAGCTGACAGAAATAGGCTTATGAGCTGCCCAGATATTGTGCTGATACCCAGGATGGAATATTTTTTTTTTACTGAGAAAATTGGTTTAGGTTCTGATCCAGTGTTTGTTCTACTCTATGTTATTGGCTCAAAGCCTCTATTTAGTAGAACTTCCCTTCTTTGTTCAACCAGACTATTTATATAGATGGGTCTAAAGGTCTCAGGGGAAATGAGAATCTGAATCTAATGAAGAATTTTGTATGTTGCCCCTCTGAAGAGGAGGGGAAAGGCACCTCATGGTGCAAATGGAGCAAACAGCTGTTTTCAAACACTTTGAAGCTTTCTTAATCTACTCATTAATTTCACTAATACTGGAAAATCTATTAAAATAAAACCTATGGTTTGAAAGTGAAGTTAGAGTACTAAGCTAGGCTTATTCAATCTAGATATTGATAGATTTAAATAAAAAGGAAAGAGTAAGAGAGTAAAAATGACTTGAGCTTTATTTATTGATCTGCAGTTAAACAGAAACCCTTACACAGAAAAGTCAGAGACAGATATAAGTGCTATCAAGTTTCAACTAATGCTGAAGACCAGGTGAGACCATGGCCCTTTACACCAGGTATGGCAAAGCAACAGCCAGCCTGTGTTGTAGAAAGCAGCAACCAGAAACTTGGATTTGCTTTTTTTTTTTTTTTTAATGAGGTTTGAAAACCAACCTCCAAACCAACTGAGGAGGCCTCCTTCCAAACCAGCATACCAGTTGCAATTGCTACACCATTAAATAGAGAAACAACCTTCCAGAAATACAAAACTGCCAAAAAGTACAAGTGCAGGTACTTCTGATAAGGCCTAGCATTTTGTAAGAAGAACGAGAAGCAAGATAAAGAAAGCAAGAGGAAGAAAGAACCACCTGGCCAGGTCCTCAACAATATAACCAAAAATTTCTGGTAGATAGGTAAGAGGTAGAAATACTGCAGATCACCCACCTGTTTTTAAAGTCCTGTTTACCAGGCTGTCAACTGGAAAAACTTCCTTTTTTATCATAAACTGAGCAAAGGTGATATGGAAGAGTGAGAGGCTCTGTGGGGTGCCATTTTTGGGGATGTAGCTGCATTTTGATAGCGATTACTTTAAGATCATGCAACTAAAAAAATAACAGTTAACATGTCTGAGATGCCATTTTAAATTATTTAGATTATTTTCCCTGCAGTCATGATGGCTCTTTAGGAAATGTTCTAATCTCAGGCTAAGAATAAGAAACCTTTACTTTACCTGTTAGTGAGCTCTTGGGACTCTACAAAGTGTAAGTATTGCCATTAGGAAAAATAATACTTGTGTTGGAGCTACAAACACAGACAACAAAAATAATGACCTTTTCTTGCACTGTAAACCTTCTGCATCTGTTATCCTCTTAGTATTCCTAAGTGCATTATATCCAGATAAATCTCCCATGTGCAGCCAGCCAAATGTCTTACGCACTGCCAGCAATCCACAGTAAGTCTTCCCAGAGGCCTTAAATGAAGTCAAAATAACACATGGGTTTCTCCCTCTCTGCAGGGAAATTTGCCTTTTAAACAGGGTATTTGGAGAAGGAATACTCTAAAATACAGAGCCCTTGTGTTGCAATAAGACAGGAATGTTTTCTATTGAGGGTATCCTACATATTAGGAATTTTCCTGTATGAAATGCCACAGTGGTGCAGCTGCATTGATTGATCCTGTTATCTGAGCTAGCTTGTCTGCCCAATGTGCTAAAGAGATGGGCCTCTCTGTCTTCAGCCAAGTGATATATATTCAAATTGAGTAAAAGGAGGATTAGTTCAGCAATTCTGTCACAGCTTTGGTCAAAGGCTGATGAAACCATTCCTTTTGGTGGGCCTCTTAATTCACATCTGAGATTCCACATCTGCATAAGCCAGGCTTTTGGGAAGATGCTACATCACACCTTCAGTTGTTTGTGGAACAGATTGCCACGACAGCTTGGGGAAGATCAGTGCAGCCTATGTATAGTGTTGGGATATCAACTTTTCAAACTGTGGAGAAAAGTTCTCCTTGGTGGAAAAGTGATGTTTTGCCTTGTGATCTCAGTGAAGTAGCTTAATCTAGGTAGGTGCTAATCAAACCAGATCCTGAGCTGAGTTCAGTTACAGACACTTGTGCTTGCAGCTGATCACAAAATCCAGCCCAGGCTGGAGATCAGCACTTCCACCACCATCACACCAACCAGCAGTAGGATGCTAATCTTACTTTAAACCAGTGTGACTTTGCTGCCCTTAGTGGAGTAGCCATTGTGTCACCATCATTCCCGTTTAGGCAGAGTGGCACAAAGTACCTCTTGGAGTGCTGCTCCAGTCCCAGCAGCTGGTAAGAGGAAAACCTGAAGGACATTGCAAGTTTATTATAATTCTGATAACTAAAGTGAAGGTTTACATAGATACAAACCACCTAAAGCCAAAATCTGCTTCCAGCTCCTCTCTTCCCATCTCTTCCCTACCATTCACTGAGCAGCCTACTCAGTGAATCTACTCTTGGAGATTATCTGTCTGTCTGCTCTCCAGACCAGAGATCACCAGAGATCATCTGTCTGACCTCACATACACCTACAGTTCAGCATTCTGTGCCACCCTTTCAAGTAACTGGGGGAAACAGCTCCTGACTGAAACACAGATCCAAAAGGGTGCCAGAAGAGTGGCTTGAACTGGCATTAATGCTCAAGAATGACTTAAACCTCAAAATATCAGAACTTTAAACTCAAGATGAAACAGGCACCATTGGTCAGAACCATTTTCACCCCTGGTGGCAGCCAGTGGCTTTCTCATTCAAGCCTACTGAGTTATCAGACTGCAGAGCACCCCTCTCCAAATACTGCCTTTTTTGTCCATAAGATTTTTAGAAGCCTTTTCTCTTTCCAAAGAAAATAATGTGTAATGACTACATGATCTTATGTGCTGGAAGCATTTTTGTTACAGCAGTAGTTGTATTACCTAAGCAGTAAAAATTACTAGATCCAGCAGTCAAAAGTTTGCTTTCAATCTGATTTAAAAAATCGCAGTCCTCTCCAATTCTAAAGGGCAAGTTACAGTTTAATGTAACACCTTCTTTCCATTCTTAAACCTTCCTTCCTGTTTCTCCCCTTCACCTCCCCAACAGGCTGCATGGTTGACTGTCTATAATGACAGGATGATCTGTCCAACTTGCAAATTCAGTGGTCACAAGGAGAGATTTTAGTCTTGAGACTGATGACTGTGAGAAAGTTTGAGCAGCCTCACAAGCTACACATGTAGCATAGGTTCAGAATTTCATTTCCTTATAATACTTCATACAAGGAGTATGAAGTATTATATACTTCATACTGCCCCCTAATTCTTACCTAACACACTTTTAAAGGCAAGAAATTTCTCTAGTGTCTTTTGTACCGTAACTCTTTTTTGTTTGTCATTTTCATCTTGCTCTCACATTGGCTTTACCTTCCTTCCTCTAGTTGTTTAAATTGCAGGCTTTTTGGATAAAGGGATAAACTATACTCAGCTGAAGTGCAGAGCACGTGCAGATGTCGAGGAGGGATCACACTCCTCAGTAGGTTTCTCCAGACTGGGCTGCTGGCATGAACCAAACAGTTGGGTTCAAACCCTTTTCATAACTTGCAATAACAGTAGACAAAATTCTGGTGTCTAATGTCTTCTAGCAGGACTCAAAATGTTACAACAGACCAGGAAAAAATGTTACTTCAACAACTCCGAGAAATTACTAGAGTTATGAAAGAAGGAAAATTCATAGATGACATCTCTCCTGAGAAGGAAGCTGAGGAAGCTCCTTACATGGCAGATTGGGAAGGTAAGCGAGAGCCTTTCGTACCATTACCCTTACAAGAAAAATTAGATAAAGATCTAATAAGATCACACTTCCAGATCCTTTCAAAGTTTTGGTTAACTTTATCCTTCTTTTTACAGAAGCCAGTGTTCAAAACTTTTTTTAAGAGGTTGATTGGCTTTTTTTTTTCCCTCAACCATAACAGAAAAAAATAGATTTTGAGGTATCCAACATTTCTTTTAGTGTAAACACTGCACTATCTGCTGCCCAAAGTGGCATATGAATATTCACATATGCTCCATCTGCTGCTGGGGCTTGGCTGCTCTGGGTTTACATCTTTCCCTTTCTGTGCTGGGCTAGATTACATGACAATCATAAAACACTTGGAAATCAGAATCAATTTGTTTTAGATAAATTACAGTTTTTACTTTTGATTTTTCATCTTTGTTAGCTCCAATGTTGTAAAAGTCTACTCCAGGAAGTCTTTTAAAAGCTATTTATTTTAATGTCCTTTCCATTCCTTGGTGTTTACCTTCTACATAAATGTGTTTTCAAGATACCTTAGTTGACCTGCTCTGTATCATAATTTTAAAGGCAGACTTAATTTCTTGCTTTTTAAAAAGCTTTCAAAAATGATCCAACACATAAAGCATAAACAGTAACCCTGAGCTCTGTTCATAAAGTTTATAATGTTATTTCTAAAATGAAATGCACAAAGTCATTGATGTATCTGTTCTTTCAACTTTCTCAGTAATTCTGTTTATTGCAAGTGTTCAAACCATGCATCAGTCAATCTGTAGGCAGGAAAAAATGAAGGCTCCATTTAAAGATCTGAGATACACCATTTTTACCTGTTAGCCCTCATAACTTCCAGCAAAGCTCAGCTTTCACTCCTGAAAGTCAGGGTTGATATCCTGGCTCCCTAAAAGTGAATTTTTTTTCATCATCTCCCAAGAAGACATGCTTTGTACATTCTTGCCATGGATTTAATACTGTCACGTGTACATGGCATTAAAGAGCTGACACTTGCACTGGCAGTAGAATAAAACAACTGTCCTGGCCAACTTTGCATCCACCACTGAGGTCAGGACTACTTTTAAATGCTGGTAATACTCCAAGCTGCATATCCCTTTATTCCTAAGGTTATCCAGAAGAGACCTATCCTGTCTATGATAATTGCTTCAAGCGCAAGCAGGACACAATCCTTGTAGATTACCCTGACCTGAGCCAGCCCTCTCCAGAAGAGCTGGCAGAAAGAATGGAGGGCATGGAAGATGAGGAGTATCCTTATGATGAAACCCTGCTAAGTGATCTCACCATGGGAATGGGTGGTCAGGATTTAATGCAGAAAAAGGATGATGTAACTCTCATCAGGGAGGAGGAGAGTGACCTTCCTCCCAGCCAGAGCACTGAGGAGTGCTGCTGTTGCTGTGATGATGATGATCCTGCCGTCATAGCAGAGAATGCTGGATTCCACTCTGAGACCTGCAGTGAAGTAGAAGAGACAAGCCAAGAGGAGCTCTCTGTGGAGTCGGAAAATGAAAATGCAGCACTGGAAAAGCAAAAAGTGTGTGATTCAGAGGAGACAGGCACGCTGAGAAAGCGCAACACCAAAGTGCTTGATTGATAGGGACAACAGTGGATGCCATCTGGATGGCAAAGGTAGAGGTCATAAACTGTCATCCATGTGGATTTTGTTCCCAGTGAGGATTTCTCTGTGTTCATCTCCTTGTACCTATTGCATTCTTGTGGTACCAGTCACATCATCTACCTGAACTGGAAGCCAATGCCCTTTTTCATGCACTTGTCATGGGTTACCATGATGCTGCCAACAGTGCTTTGTCCTTGATTTTTGAAGCCTTGTATTTTGGAGCAGATATTTGTGACTTGTTCCTCTTCAATTCTGAAGGTTTTGTCCTTGGTTTTGCCCTTTGTCATCCCAGAGTTGACCAAATGTCTCTTCTGACTTTTTCAAAACCATCTGTGTGCTACCAGTTAGAAGGGTTAACCAAATCCTTATAATTACATGAGTTTACTGGGATGCTGAAGGACAAAATATGCCTTTTTTCTCTTGGCTCAGTGTTAACTGGTCAGCAGAGCTGACCGTAGTCACACACGTGACTCTCTCAGCTCTGTCATTGCTCTCTACGCTTCAGAAACTGCTGTCACTACAATCCAAAAAAGGTCCTATGCTACCCCACAGCCCCTTTCCCAGTTGTTCTGTGTTGTTGGAACAGTAGCCTAATCCATGTTGTGTTACTTGTGTGAGCAAGACTGAAGCTCTGTGAGTTGTGCTTTAACTTTGCCTTAGCCGTGGTGAAATGATGATTGCAGGAACCACAATGTGTAAGAGCACTAAAAATATCCCTAGAGATCAAAACCAAAAAAGCAGTGTTAAGGTTTGTCTGTAAAGGAGAGAGCAGCATCAGGGGGACCCTCACACTGAAGGTAGCAGGTAGGCTTTTCCTTCTTCCTGGAAACCTGAGGGGTTTTGTGTCCCTGGAGTGTTGTTGCCAGGGTCATGTTGAGGCAACCCCAGGTATGAGATGAGGAAAGTGCTGGAGCCAAGGGCTCCTGAGGGGAGGTGGCAGGTGGTCCCTGTGCCCAAGGGACAGCCTTTCTTGTACAAGCAGCGTGACATGTGGGACAGACTTCTGGAAAGGGTCCCTCAGCTTCCATGACCCTCCTGCTTCTCCTGGGCGCTTTTCAGGCCACCATAACCCGATGTATTGGGCCACACTCATGGCCCAGTCACAGTGGCTGTTTGTGATGTCAGCAGTCCCCTGAGTGCTCTGGCACTATAGAAGCAGGGCCCTCTGCAGCTGCCCCCTGTCCACCCAGCTCTGAGGCCCTTGATGAATGTCTGGAAGGAAGTCAGAGCAGGGAGGCAGATGGCAGCCCGCCTTTGTAGGGACCAGCAGCAGGGCCCCTCCCAGTGATGGCTGAAGAGGAAGGCATGTGCCAGGAGGAGGCTGTGGAAGAGGAGGAACAAAATCACACCTCTGCCATGAGTGCCACCACCCTCAGTTCCCTGATCATGGCCATGCAGAGCTTGGCTCTGTGCCCACCAGGGAATGGCGTGCAGCCCAGGGACATGGGCATGCCAGGGAGCCAGCGGAGCAGTGAGCCTTTGAGTGGGACAGCACACAGACACGTCCGGCAGTGGCCAAGGAAGGAGTCGCTTTCCCTGGGCCTGAAGAATGGCAGTCGACAGTGCAGGAGGAGGGAAAGGAGGAGACGGAGGAGCATCAGCCCTTGCTCCAGGAGATCCATTGTCAACACGCGAGGGATGACACCCAGCGCGCGCCTCCAGGAATTCTGGCGGCTCAAAATCCGCACCGGCCTGACTGAAAAATAAGCAACAAGGATGAAAATGCTGTCATCCTCCTTATTTGGTACTTTGGCAACAGCACCTGTGCTCCCGTGACCCCTTAAGTAGGAGGTGCTTTTTAGAAGCTTTCTGGTTCCATGCCTGCATCCTGCCTTGCTGGTGCCACCTGACATCCTGGGGTCTTTTAGGCTATAACATCAACAATTTGAGACTAGTTTTTTTTAAACAGAGTAAAGTTATCATAATGAAGGCACAGAGCCCAAGGAATTTCTTCTTTGCAAACGTGCTAGGGAATTATTACGGAGTCCCAGCCTCCACATGGGGCCCCTCCTACTGGCTCACCCATTCCATCACCTGGCATCAACAATCATTTGTTGGTTGCCATGAATTAAATGAGCCCTTCCTTGTCATCCCCTACCCCACCCTTCCTGGAGCTCCTCTGCTCTGAGCCGCGGGGAAAGGACATGAATTGACTTGGCTTTCACCAGGCTGCTGTGCTGAGGTGACAGGAGTTATCCCCAGAGGGACACTGAGGTTCCTGGGGTCTGGAGGTGGGGTTGCTTCATTCTGAGGGCAACAACAATCCCTGATGGATGAGTGAAATCAGCCTTGCATAAAGAATGTTAGCAGACCAAGCCAAGAATGTAGACAGCTGTTTCTTTGGCAAAGCAGCAGATGGCAGTTCGGCCAGGAAGAAGTGCTAGCCTTCACATGGAGGTCCCTTCTAGCTGCTTCACAGGAAGTTCTTTTCAGTGTTGGGAAATAAATTTTAAAAAACCAAACTAATAAACCAAAAAAAATATAACAGCAAAAATTATTTCTTCCTCTGTTTTTTTGGGGGATTTGGTGAGTGTCTATGGATTCCTCTCTCCCCTCCAGGTCTCCACAGCTCTGGAAAGGTACTGATGTGTGGGGTATAGGCCCAGCCCAGGCCTTGGAGACAGTGAGGAGCTGGGGCCTGTGGCACATGAGGGCAGGCTGAGGGAGCTGCCTCTAGTCACAAGGGTGGGGTGGTGGTGGAGCAAGCGGCCCAGTGGAAATGTGGATGCCCCATCCTTGTCAGCATTCCAGGTCAGGCTGCCTGGGGCTTTGACCAATCTGGTCTAGTCTCAGCCTCACCCCAGTGTTCAGCCAAGCCCTTGTTGGCTTCATTCTCCACTATTTCCAAGGAAATGGCAGGAGATGTGCTGGAGCCCTGCTGTGGATACAGGCATAGCCCAGTGAGAGGCTGACACCCTTTCCCTGGATTGTCACAGACCAGCAAGTGTTCCCAGGGTGTCACCGGAGCTCTGACACTCTGAGGCAGCAACCCAGGAGCACAGGGCAGGCATCTACACCCACCATGGGCCTCTGGGACACTCTGCTTTGATGAAAAAAATTGGATTCCCCTGGTCTGCACCAGCTGCAAGCCAGCTGCTGGGTGCCAGTCAAGGTGGGGTGCTGGCCTGGGGCTACCCCCACAGAGCTGCTCATGTCAGGCCCTCGGTGCTGGGATGGGCTGGGGAGGGTGCCCGTGGCAATGCCACCCACCACAGCCAGGGCAACCCACAGGAAGGGCCTGTGCCACATCCAGAGTCACCACCCAGCCCTGTTCCATGCCAGCCCAGCCCCCAGAGCATCTGTATCCCTGGATTATGGGTCTGGCCCACCAACTGCCCTCACCAGCACAGCTCCAGGTGCAACTGTTCCAAACATACCAATAACCCACGTAACCTGGGAATCCAGTGGGTAGACACCACCATGGGAAAGTGGTTTTGTGTCCATCAGGAGCTCCTCGTGATGGCCATTGTTCTCCAGGTGGGAGTTGCCCAATCCTCTTGGCACAGCGTTATTGTGTGCTCCTAGAATAATTATGCTGTACCAGACATTTTCTCCCAGCTTTGCAAAAGCCAAAGGGGTCCCCTTTTCAATGCCAGGTCAATTTCCCATTGTTTCAAGCACTACGAAGTACTTGAACCCCCCTTTTACATGGAAAAAAAAGGAGCTGAACTCCCCTTTTCAATGTGCCTTGCAAGGGCTCTAATCCCTTACACTTTAGGAGTTGTTAGAGCTACCTTTAACACCTGTGACAGAGCTAAAGGCTTTCTGTTTCTTTGCAGCAAGGTGTCAGAGAGACTCAAGAGCTCATCCCTGAGGTGTCCATGGCCTAGGCAGCCCCTCCCCAGGGACCAGCAAGTGCTCTCTGAATGTAGCCATGGAGCAGCTCACCAGCAGCTTTCAAACTGGGATTCCTCCTGTTTGAATAATATTTCCTTTTCACCCTTTGCCTCAGCTTTCCCCTCTCTGAAACAGAAATGTCTGTTAAAAGGAGAATTTTAGAAAAGGACCATCAAACGTGTTGTCTCTAGCTTTCTCAACTATTAACTGCTCACTTCTACTAGAGAACACTCATAATTTGAAGGAGAGCTTAGCTGATCAAAATCAGGATTCTCAGAGAACTTTGATTAAGTAAGTAAATCAAAATCATAGGTCAGAACATCAGCAAAGCTGGGAATTTGTGAAAAAGCTCAAACGGATGCCCATTGCTCATGCTCCTTTACTTGTAATGCTTCCCACCTGGCAAATGAAATAGCTTCAACTTTTTGTTAAAGCTAAAAGAAATATCACATGTATTGTTAAAATGAAATATTATGATAAAACTAGATTTTAAAACCCGGGCTTCGTTCTACCTGAGCATTTGAGAATGGTTACAGATTGTTTCGGGCATTCCATGGGATCAGGAAAAAAGCAAAAAAATCACTGCTGGCCCCAAAAATACTCTAAAGAACATTAGTTATCAAATGGTATTTGGAAAATAGATAAATCTCTGAGAAGTTTATGACCTAACTCTTTGCATTAGTAATTAGTGTCCATATCTTGGATTTTTAATTTCCCAGCTAAGAATAAGAAAACTACGCTTACCTTTGAGAATACAGAACAAACTAGTGCAATAATCTTCTATTTAAATAACATTTATTTGCACATTTTAATAAAAAATAATAAAATTCTATGTTTCTAACCTCACTTATCACAAACACTGGGGAAGAGAAACCAGATAAGAGTTAGCAAATCATCTCTTTATCAGTGGTTTTATACTGACCATGTATTCCAAAGCAAACAAATGCAACACCAGATCAGACAGACTGAGCATCCCAAACACAGCTGGAAAGGTTGGTCTGGTCAAGTGACTTTTCTAAGCTTTGGAGCTCCATCGGTTTTTTGGAGGAGCACATATTCCTAAAGAGCAAACAGACACCTCTCTTTTTTGATCAGTGATCTTCCTGGGTTGGCTCAGTGCTCTCCTCTCTATTGGGACCAAACACCTGCCC